TGTACGCCAAATGGCGTCATCCCGAGTTGATGCAGATGCTGGATGAATCTCTGGAATTGGAGCTCAGTGGTTAGAAATGAGGCGACTATGTGTGTGTGTGTGTGTGCGTATGTGTATGTGAGTGCGGGTGAGGGTGAGGGTGGGGGAGAGAGGTGGAAGAAGGAATTTTTTGGAGTGAGGGAGGGGAGGATCCAATGAAAGACAAGGATGCCTTTCTGGCTTGCCATGTCTATGTGGGCATGCGTTTGTGTCTGTGTCTCTTTCCTTCTGTGCATACGTGCGTGTGTGCATGAATCAGGTGAAGCAGCGTAGTGAATCTCCACATCAACAGTGATGTAGGAGCTGCTATGTATTTTTTAAGTGCACTGCTTCTATCAATGTTATATTATTTGCTCTCTGGCGCATTTCTTTTTTTTTTGTATTGGCAATTGCCCCGTCTTTCTCCATCAACTTTGGCACTTACGCGCAGGTGCCTAACACCAACGGTTCGTGGGCTGAGGGCGTCGGGTCACGCTGGCGCATTGGATACGACGAGAGCCTTACACCTGTCTGTGCGGATACAAGTAGCTTAACTATTAACGCTGGCTGGATGAGGCGAACGACGCTTCGACGCGTGGCGCCGTGGGTGCCGCCGCCCCGTCACGATGTGAAGGTGACGATGCCGCCGCCACCAGGTGGTGAAGTTGGTGGCTCCTTTGGCGTCTCGCTGGGGTACAGTGACCGCATCGCCTGCACACCCTACTGGAAGCGCATGGCTCTCTCGAACTACGCACTACGCATGAAGGAGAATGCGACGCGGTATCCGATGAGTGAGTATCGCCCTGGTGAATACGACATCCGTTACCTTCCCAAACCGTACCCATGCACGATTCGCAACCGGCCACTACTGGAGGTGGGAGAACCGCGGCGGATTCCAAGTATTCAAATTCCGGTTATTTTTCTTGTGAACTTGTACAATGAAAGGAAAAAGTGCTGGTTTGGGCGCAAGTTTGAGACGGTGTATGTGAGTCGACAGTTTATGCGGGAGGAGCTGATGCCGCAACGGTACGCCATTTACGCTACGCCCGAGGCGTACACGCTGCTTGGTCTGCCTGTGGTAGATCATGGGATTCACAGAGAGATCCCCAAGACACCGCGCGAGTATGAAAAGTTGCTGGAACGACAGAAGTACGACGAGGAGCGGTGGAAGTATTCGATCGAGTACCTCTTTCGTAAGTACGAGGCGGGGCCACCCGAACTATTAGACCGCGCTGAAGACAATTGGGACGGTACAGAGGTGGTGGCAGATTTCTCTGCAGCCGGTGCTGCACGTCATGGTGAGGCGGTGCAGCGTAAAGGAGCCATCAAGCAACGCAAAGCACGGAAGATAAAGTTGTTTTAGTGCACTCATTGACTGTGCCCTCTCCCTCCTGAAGTGGCGGAGGAAAAGGGGATTGGGCCTTCGCGCACGCATTGCATGCGTTTACGCACAGAAACGCATGTATACACCAAAAAAAAAAAAATGTTATTATTTATTTTGCCTGTTGTGCGTATCTTTGGCTTCTGTTCATCTTCCCCAACGATCCCGCTTCTTGTTTCTTGGCTCTTGCTGGTTGTTGATGCTTCCCTTTTGTCTCTTACGCTCCCATAGTCCGTCGTGGGACTTCAGAAAAGTGAGAGGCAACGTGAAAAATAAGAATATAGCCACCAAAAAAAAAAAAAAATTGAAAACTTAAGCTTTACCACAAATATATATATATATATAATTATATAATATATATATATATAATTATTAATTTTTTTTGCGTTGGATTGTTGGTTTCTTGTTGAAAGAAGAAAAAAAAAAGAGTAACTTGAAACTCCCAAGAGGGAAGACATAATACAAACAGAAAAAAAAAGTAACATCAAAAGGTGGGAATAATGCCCCTCCTTTCACTCCCAAAGGATCCCTCCACGATGGAGGCAGCGGCGGTCGTTAAGGCCATGCACGTTGACCCGAGGCGTGGACTCTCTGCAGCGGAGGTGGAGAAGCGACGCGGAAAATTTGGTCGTAACGAACTCCCCACGGAGCCGCCAACCCCTTTTTGGAAATTGGTTCTGGCGCAGTTTGAGGACACTCTAGTTCGCATACTCCTGCTTGCAGCCATGATGAGCTTCATGATGGCTCTTATTGAAAAGAATGTCAAGGATTTTGTGGAGCCGTTTATTATTCTCCTCATTCTCGTGCTAAACGCAGCGGTTGGGGTATGGCAGGAAAACCGTGCGGAGGGTGCAATTGAGGCACTCAAGTCATTCGTTCCCAAACTTGCAGTGGTGTTACGCGAAGGCAAGACTGTCACGGTGGAAGCAGAGGATTTGGTGCCTGGTGACATTGTAGAGGTGGCGGTGGGGAACCGTGTTGCTGCGGACATGCGTGTATTAGAGTTGCATAGCACGACCCTGCGCGCTGATCAGGCAATTCTTAACGGGGAGTCCGTGGAGGCAATGAAGGGAGTAGAGCCTGTAGGTGGTCATCATGAACGTTTCCCAGCAAGCATGGTGTATAGCGGAACAGCGATTGTATACGGCAAAGCGCTTTGTGTTGTGGTGCGCACCGGTGCTTCCACGGAAATCGGCTCCATTGAAAGAAATGTGCGGGAGCAGGAGGACGTGAAGACGCCGTTGCAGGTTAAATTGGATGAGTTTGGTGTGCTGCTATCCAAGGTGATTGGTTACATTTGCCTAGCAGTATTCTTGATCAATATGGTGCGCTGGTATACAGTGCACATACCGACGCCCAATGAGCCATGGTATGAGCGCTTCATTGCGCCGGCAATACATTGTTTGAAGGTGGCCATTGCGCTGGCTGTTGCGGCCATTCCAGAGGGTCTTCCGGCGGTCGTCACTACATGTTTGGCTCTTGGCACGCGACGCATGGCGCGGCATCACGCCTTGGTGCGAGATCTTCCAAGTGTTGAGACCCTGGGCCGTTGCACTGTCATTTGCTCGGACAAGACGGGTACATTGACGACAAACATGATGTCCGTGATGGAGATCTTTACAATGTGCTCGAATGGCGCACTGAGGAACTATGAGCTGAAGGACTCCAGGTTTAACGTGGTGCCAAATGTTGTGACATCTGACGGCAAACCGGTAACCTCAGCCGTAGAGTCGGACGCGGCTCTCGCTATGTTATCTAACATTGCCGTCCTTTGCAATGATGCCTCACTACACTACAATACGACCACGGGTCAGGTTGAGAAAATAGGAGAGGCTACAGAGGCGGCATTGCTCGTGATGAGCGAAAAACTCGTCCATCCCACAGATCCTACTGCTGTCTGCGACTTCCGCAAACGTGCCGAACAAAAGTGGATTAAGAACACAACGCTGGAGTTTACTCGTCAACGCAAGTCTATGAGTGTGCATGCCACAGACGCGGCTTCTGCCAGGCTGAACAGTTTATTTGTAAAAGGGGCCCCAGAGGAGGTTCTGCGACGCTCAACGCAGTTGATGCAAGACAACGGTGTTATTGTTCCTTTGAATGACGCACTGCGTTCACGGATTATGGCGAAACTGGATGCCATGTCTGGCAGTGAGCACGCACTCCGCTGCATTGGTTTTGCTTTTAAGCCAACTCTCGCTGTACGGGAGCTAAAGCTTACCGAACCGGCTTTATTTGAGCAGGTTGAATCGGATCTAACATTTGTTGGGGCATGTGGCATGATTGATCCCCCGCGTGAGGAGGTTGGGGAGGCCATTACAAGCTGCCGCACAGCCGGGATCCGTGTTGTGGTCATCACCGGCGATCGTAAGGAGACTGCAGAGGCCATATGCAGGAAACTTGGTTTGATGCCTGCGACAGATACTGCTGGGTTAAGTTACACGGGAGCTGAACTTGATATGATGAGTCTTGCAGAGAAACGAAAGGTTGTGATGTCGGCAGTACTTTTTAGTCGCACGGATCCTTCTCATAAGATGCAGCTTGTGAAATTACTACAGGAGCAAAAACTTATTTGTGCCATGACTGGCGATGGAGTGAATGATGCCCCCGCGCTGAAAAGGGCGGATATTGGTATCGCCATGGGGAGTGGTACGGAGGTGGCAAAGGCGGCGAGCAAGATGGTGCTGGCGGATGATAATTTTGCTACAGTTGTCAAGGCGGTGGGGGAGGGTCGTTCAATCTTCAACAACACAAAGCAGTTTATCCGCTACCTGATTAGTAGCAATATTGGCGAAGTGGTGTGTATTCTCCTGACAGGTCTCTTTGGTCTTCCTGAAGCCCTCTCACCTGTCCAGCTGTTGTGGGTGAACCTAGTAACGGATGGTCTTCCCGCTACTGCACTCGGTTTCAACGCGGCGGATGAGGACATCATGGAACAGCCCCCGCGTCACGTTGATGAGCCCATTGTGAATGGATGGTTGTTTCTACGCTACATGGTGATTGGCGCATATGTAGGTGTCGCGACGGTTGGCGGGTTCTTGTGGTGGTTCCTCAGCCACGGATTCAGCTGGCGCGAGCTCACCACCTACGCGGCTTGCACCAATATGCAGGATGCAAAGTGCGCCATACTTGCTGACCCGGAGGCAGCGCGTGCCATAGCACTGTCTATTCTTGTATTGGTTGAGATGCTTAATGCACTGAACGCGCTAAGCGAGAATGCCTCTCTCATCACGACACGGCCATCCAGCAACATCTGGCTCTTGCTCGCCATCTTCTCCTCGCTTGCGCTGCACCTGATGATTATGTACGTGCCCTTCTTGTCGGCTCTTTTTAACATCGCCCCACTCGGTGTTGATCCTCAAATTGTGAAGCAAGCACAACCGTTTAGTATTCTTGTCCCGTCCAACTTTGATGACTGGAAGGCGGTGATCGTATTTAGCGTGCCAGTAATCTTAATTGACGAGCTGCTGAAGTACATCACCCGGCAGATGCATGCCCGTCAAGAAAAGAAGAGCAACTGACGAGCGTGAAGGAAAACCTGAGAAGCGTGAATGAATGGTGGAAGCCAACAAAGGGAGAGAGAGAGAGAGCGAAAAAGAAAGAGAGAAAGAAACGAGGGGAAACAAATGAAGGAGAAACGCTGCAGAGTGTTTTTCTTTGCTGTGGTATTGTATACATTTGCGTATGTATATATGGTGCATAAATACAATTGCCAGGCCGTCGATATGGTTTTATTTTATTTTGTTTTTGCTTTCACTTTTTTCTTTCTCCCTCCCAATAGATGCATTTTCATATATTCATCAATTTATTTAGTTCTCATTACTAATATTGTTGCCTTCTCGATTGTGTCTGTTGCGCATACAATCTGGTGTTGCATGCATACGTGTGTTTAGACGGCTGGATTTGTAATCCGTACGGCACACGAGGAACGGGGGGGGGGGGGGGGGGGGGTGCGTAACGAATGAACACGAAAGGAAAAGAACAAAAGACGGCGAAGTAATAACATTGATATTAATATTACCGTGTAGATACTGGGCCTTTTTGTAAGCTGTGAAGTGAAGTGAAGTGAGGTGTGGGATGAGATGGCCTCTGATCAGGTCGTGCCGCAGAGAAGTGTGTCACGCTTAAGAGCGTTTGTTAAAAGTAGCAAATGAACGCGCCAAGGATTTAGCGATATATCTTCCCAGAGACATCTCCTGTAGAGAGCGAAGAGCAATAAAAAAGAAAACTCGAAAAAGACAAACACACGCACGCACATACAAGTTATGCAGGTGCGATACATCCGTTTTATTGAACATCTACAGGAAGCGAGACAGGCAGGGAATACGCCCGGCATTGGAAAGCAAAAGAGGAAAAAAAGGTGTAAGCAAACAAAAATCAAAAGAAATGGATGAAAAGATACTGAAAACAAAAGACGAGAGTAATCACAAAGACAGATGGTGAAAATGAGCTGCACAGAGGCGGGAGAACGTGTCTGTGAGAGTCTGTGACGCACACCCACTCCCACTACGAACATGCAGACATACATATATATATATCTGTGCGCATGTGTAGGTATGCATTTGGGGTTTTGAGGGGTGAAGTGAGACGTTGGACACCCACACAGGCAGAAACGAAAAGAAAAAAAAGGGAGAGGAGTAAAAAGCAATGAAGACATTTATTTCTGAAGGATTATTTATTTATATGTGCTCTTTTGCCTGTCTTTATTTGGTACCACACGCCCACACACCCACATGCCACGAGGTCCCGCTTCTCTGCGATGAGTGCGAAGACGTCGTGGTTGTTGCTGTTGTGTTTATTCCTTTTTTTTTTTGTTACATGTTTCTCTGAGCTGTTGCTCCGCCCTCCTGCCGTGTTGTTCCGTTACGGCTACTTTCCTCTTGCCGACGGCGGGGCGGTGGCGGTCACTGCCGCTTTGCAGGTGATTCGTCTTCCTTTTTGTTTTGTTTGCGCTTTGTGATGCCTGTCGGACCTCCACGTGCGTCCTCTCCCGCTCTCTATTCAAGCAATAGGAATACACGCAAGACGCAAGGCAGACACGCACAGCACAATAGAGGAGAAATATTTGGGCGGGCGCAACTCCACTCAAGTCAGAGGGTCAGGTACATTACGTTGCAAGGCACTGGAAAATGTTCCACGCATTTGCGAAGTCGCCGGTGTACGAGCAACTCCTGCGGCCCCTCAGTAGCAATTCGATGCTGATGATATGTGTGGCGACGGGATGCATGAGCGCATTTGTGTACTTGTCCTACGCCCGGAGCAGTCTGGCCATATTGCGTCAAACACAGGAGAACTGTCAAGGTATCGCTGAAAACGCCTTTGTGCAGAGCAGGAAATTGTTGAAGAGCCTGGAAGAGGACTGGGCGCAAGATATGAAGTCACGTGATGACTCGGTGCGACGACTGGAGTTGCAGAATGTAGAACAGACACGCAGCATCGCCCGCCTGGATGCAGCAATGAAACTTTGCATCGCACCAGGACCACAAATACTAGAGTGATAGCAGGCTTTTTTTTCCTACTCATTATTCTTTTTTTTTTTTCATGAGTTTGGTTAAGTGCGGAGTGTACAATTTATGTGTATGTACTTTTATATCTGTGCTTTTTTCTTGTTGTTGAGTAGATGACTTCTTTTTTTCCTTCCTTTTTTGTTATTTGGTTTTTTCTCTTCATTCCTGTGTGTCGGTGTGTGGTGTTTTTTGTTTGCTCTATGTTTTATTATTATTATTATTTCTGTCCATTGGAACGAGCATCCGTCTGGAACGCTGCTCAACAAACACACACACACAAACAAACAAAAACCGGTAGGCGAATACCAATTGCGTTATATAAAGGAAATACGTGTAATATATACGCGCGCCGGGGTACATGCCTAGAAAAGACAGGGATGTCTGGGAGCCGCCGGAGGATCGCAATGCGATGGAGGAACCTCCATCTGCGTTTATGCAACACTTTCAGGACCGTGCTGTGCGGGTTGGGAAGGACGGCAGTAATGCACAGTTAGTGCGGGCGAAGCAGACGAAGCCGATACGATGGTCAGATGACAGCAACAAGAAGAATGAGGATGGAAATTTAATGTCTGCACCCGTAGGGGGCTATAAGGCAAACATGCATAACAAGAAGACAATGATGATGCGGTTGCCGTCAAAGAATAGACGCCATGCTGGGGGAATTGTGGCACCTGATGAGCTCAAGGCGATATCTCCTGTGCCACGATTGCATGACATCAACCTCAACAGTTGCTTGGGCGGTGACAGTAGTGCGGGTAGACAGCCAAAACGTTCCTTGGCTGCTCCTGATGTGGATTGCAGGGGGGTGCATGGCGTACCGGTACCTGTAATAGAGTTGTCACCACACACCCGTCCAGACAACCACCGTGAGACTGCCGCTGCAACTGCGGTGGTGCCGCCGCATTCCCAGTTATCAAACGCGTTGTCCCTTTCGACGGGTAGAAGCCAGTCATTAGAAGTCCTCTCCGTTGAACGCGGCGATGCGTCAGTGCCTGTGAGGGTGTTACCCATTTCACTCGCTTTACCCAACACACTGGGATTAGTGCAAGTGGGAAACAACCTTCGAAAACCGCTGCCGCGTCTGCTCCCACGCAGGATCAGTGGAAGTGCTGACGAGGTGGAAGCAGTAATGATGCCCAGATCGAAAAATAAGCTTGCATCTCCTTTGTCGTACACACAAAACAACAGCGTTGGCTATAATAATTTGAGTTATAACAGGGGGAGCAGCAACGATGTGGTGGCGCAAATAGATGGCGGGACTGACTTCTCTGGTCAATTGGGAGACGCTAGAAGTGAGCTTACAGCGAGTGGTTCTGTTGTCACTCCAATGTATCAGCCGATGGGTTTAATGGTTTTTGCCAGGCCCAGTCACGTGAAAAACAGAAATAAAAGGTCTAACAACGCCGTGAAGAAACAACAATCAGCTGGCGGCGCAAAAAGGCCAGTCACGGAGGAGGGTCTACGCGGAAGTTGTCAGGAGTTGCTCCGTCCCACACGAGGCAACAACCGTCTTGCATCAGAGGATAGAGAGTCACCCATGTATGCGCCAACAACAGGAATGAGGAACCTTTCTTATCCAAGCAGGCTTCAGCCGCTTGCGTTTCCCTTGGCACAAAGTGCAGATGCTGCATCCGCAACCGGCATCGGTGCTTTGACGGAAACCAAGGAATCCGAACTGGAGGAGGGGAAGAAAAAGGCCCCTTCGTACAAAGCGTATAAATTGAAGGACTACAAAGTGATGATGGAGCAGGTGGCGAATCTCAAGTTGGGGGGTTTGGGGCCTGCTGACACAGACGAACAACGTCAGGCCAAAGAAAAGTTGCAGCGTCAACGTCAATACGGTGAGTTGGCTGAAAAACAAGCTGTAAAGAAGATACGTGAAAAGCATCAGCAGTGGATTCTTCTTCAAAAACAACAATTGGAGCAGCAAGGCGAGGAAGGTGCTATTGCCGGTGAGACACCATCGAAGCGACAGCAGCAGCCGCCTCCCTCGGAACGAATTCAAGCCCAAGAAAGAAGGACACGTGCGTTGGACTACGCCCGGAATCTCCCACGACCAGCACCACCTACCAAGCGCAAAGCGCATGATGAGAATAGCTCTTCGTTTTCAGAGTCTGGTTCTATGCGCTGGCACTCACCACTGGATGAGGCTGCATGCCGGCGTGAACAGCGCCTGAAGGAACTGGAGGCCAGGCATCGTAGTGACCGACAGCGAGTGGAGGCTGTCAAGCGACAGCTGGGATATTGATCTCGCATCTGCCTGTTTTCGTTTTTCGTTTTTAATGCTCTGGTGTTTTGACAGGTGTCTAGTAATATATATATATATATATATATATATATGTATATATAATATATATGCGTATTGTTTCTTTTTTATGAAGGTTTTATATATATATATAGTGTCTGTCTGTCTGTTTATCCTTTGCCACTGCGGCAGCTGTAGCGTGACAGCTTGTCTGAGGGCAAAAAAAAGAGGCAGTGACGTTGTGCAGTAGAATCTGGTGCATTGTGAACCCCTTATCAAACACATTTTCTCTTTATGCTGGATATATATATATATATATATTACTGGCGACTCCGTGTTGTTTATCGTCGTGTTAGGTGTTAAACTCTTCGGCTGTCATCCCCACTCTTTTCTGGACATCTAACGTGTGCTCATATAGCATGCACGTGGAGAAGTGTAGTGGTGACGGTTAGGTCAATGAATAAACCTAATGGAAGGACGGACTCCTCGGAGTCATTAGCGGGCCTCTCCTGTGTTATTAGTGAGGCATGTAAAAACGGATGCACGGATTTGTTGAAACGTTATCACAATCAATTGATTCACCGTCTTCTCGCGCTTTCCTCGCTTATTATTGAGGCAACATCTATGGCGTTGCGCACTGACGTCATGTCAACGTCGGCACCGAGCGTGGAGCGGCACGAGGATCCAGAAGCCCTCCTCCCGAGGTCTGATCCTGGCACACAGATTTTAGTTCCTGGGAATGTTCACGAGAATGATACATGTAATAATAATAATGGTAATAAACGTCGGGAGTTATTGCCTTCTACACGTGAAAGGGCCTTCAGAATGCCCGTTTTTGTCACTCCACGGCCTGACGTGGGGCCGACAATGAGCCAGGGCACCTCATCTGTAGTGACGATTAACGTCAGTGCCATTACATCCTTGAATACAGCGCCTTCGCGTCTGCACCTCGCATCATCAACCATGTGCTTTTTGAAGGGTGAACTATTCGACGCCAGTGGGCGCCGCTCATCTGGACTCATGTACCCCATTGGTATGCGTGAAAGAGGGCCACTCTTTGTACAAGATGAGGCTCTCACAGACGAAGAAATGCGTGCCACGCTATCGCTAGTGGCACAGGCAGGTAGTACAGACAAGAAACGGCAAGAACTCCAGCATCCATACTATGAATTGTTGTGTGTTCGGTCGTGTGAATTGACGGTTTCCGTGTCGCCCACGTGGTCGTCGCATTCTATTGAAAATGAGGGACGATGCGTCCATGCTGGCTGCTTCACAAAAGCCATTTACGCCCGCCACCCCACCGGCAATGAAGGAACTGCAACCGCAACAGTGATCCCACAGAAATCCATCAAGGGGTGCAAGCAAAGAAATGTGCGTGGGGCTAGCCTCCAACGTCCCTTACTGACAGTATTGAGTTTGACGTCAACTCCGGATAAATCACAGTATTTAAAAAGCGAGAGAAATGGGCGACGCAGTGCTGTTTTGTCGAAGTCAAAAATTGCCGTCAAGGCGACCGAGGCAGCGAACGTGGCGGCAGCTAAAGCTATTGAAGGAGAATCTGTATTGACAACTGTGTGGCACCCTGTAACTCCATCGATGGACAGTGGTGATGGGGTCCACTGTACGCGATTTGTGGAAGGAGCAGGGAGTCAACCGAAATGCCATAAAGAAAACTCTTGTGTGGAGGAGAATACTCTGGGCGAAGAGGATAAATTTATGGGCGAAGCCGATGCGGCTCAATTTATTCTTCGTACTGAGGAGCGTGTTTATACACTTCACTACACGGTACCTTTGTCTACGCAGCGCAAAGAGGCCAATGATAAACATAATATTGGTTGTGGAAATGTTTCTCCCATCAGAATAAGTCTGGTGTCGTCTCCGTCACTGTGACTTTTGATTTGTTGGGTATGCATTGGAGGCGGTGTGTGCTTCCACGCGTTTCTTTGTTGCTACTGCGTCATTCGTGTGGTCATGACATCGGAAGTTTCATATTATTCAAGCATTGAATAAGGATTGTTTCTTCAGTTTTTCTTTGGAGAGTTGTATGATGATTTGTATTTTGGGAGAGCCCATGTAAAGAATCTGTGACCGTATGGGGCTAAAAGGGATGATGGTGCAGCTTGGCTAGCACTCCTGCTACCTTATGGATTACTATTGTCCTTTGGCTTTGTTTTTCTTTCTTTCAAAAGCTACCCATGTTGGTGAATGGAGTGGGTACAAAAAAAAAAATCTTTTTTTTTCTCCTTCCGTTGCAGAATTAGTAAAAGAACGTGACGTTCTTTACATGTATATTCTTGCGAGAACATAACAGTTTTATTTTTGGGCGACAATGTTGTTTTTTTTTTTTTTTTTGTCATGTGTGTGTGTGTGTTTTTTTTTTTTTTTTGCGGCTGGAAGTGTGATGTTTTCTTTGATTTCTTGTTAGTATTATTATTGCTATTACGTACTCTCCTCTTTCTGCACTTTCTCTACCTTTACGTGTCATGACTACTGCGGTGGGTGGTGTTGCCTTTTCTTCTGTGTGTATTGACATTATCCGGTTCTTTAGTGGACCCTTGTAGGCTTTCGTTTTCGTTTATTGTAGCCTTTGTAGCAAAAGGGGCTTAGTCGATGTGGCGGCATCGGGCTGCATCCACCGTCGCCGTGGGTGCCACACGCCGCGCATCTCTGTTTTGTGGCGTTGGAGACGCCGCCGGCGGTCGACTTGTTCATTGTGGAGAAACATTTAGGGAGGGAGCAGCCGCTGCTGCTTTTCGGTTCTTTGCACCCACCTTGTGTGTGGCACGGCGTGGCGTGAAGTTGTCGAACCCGAGCGGCAAACAGGGGAGTCAACACTACGGTGTCGAACCAAAGATGGAGGCAGGCAAGGACGTACAACTGAAACACACCGAGATGTACGACGGGTACACAGATGACTTTGGTGTGTTTAAGGAGGGCCCCCCCACGACGTTGCGACTGGAATATGTGCGCTCTCCGGAACATGGCTACTCGCAGCAGTTGCTCCAAAAAGACATTTGGTCACCGTTCCAAGTCAATGCCAACATGATGATTTACACGCCGTTGTACTATGACTGGAAAGGGTTTGCGAGTCGCGATTACTGGGGTCATCGCAGCGGAACGAATCCGGGCAGCAAAACTTTATTGGGTCACTATCGACGGGTAGAAGAGAGATCGTGGGGGTACCGCGTCATGGTGAACCACAAACCACAGAAGCGTGTTCCTAAGTGGCTGGCGTGTGTACTTCATCTGCCGCGTAAAAAAACCTTTGTAGGATTCTTCTTGTACGCTAATGGAGCCTATGTGGCGGAGCTTCTCACGTACAAGCAGTTACCACGCATATGCTACAACAAGCCTTTTCAAGGGTGCATGCCAACAATTGGGCAGACGGTGACGTTGAGTGAAGTGACGTATGGTAAGGAATTACACTCCGTAGAGATGTATCCGGGCCACGGTGGGGTTATTTGCCGTGCAAGTGGTACGGCGGCGGTGGTGTTGCGCGGTGCTGAGCCAAACCTTGTCCCGCTTTTGCTGCCCTCGAAGGAGGTGCGTCTCTTTGATAATGAGTGTCACGCGGTATTTGGACGGCGGGCGGGGGTGATGTACCGCTATCAACGCAACTTTGGTAAACGCAACGTCGAGGAAAACATGCCACATCGACCAAAGGTGCATTCCAAGACAAAGCGCGTCTCGAGTCACCCTGCCGGGGGTGGCAATGGGGGGTCGGCAAATCTGCTCGTCCCACTTGACTGGCGTGTTCATCCACGCAATTGCGTCAAGACGAAGTACTGGCTCTCCGGTTACATTCTACGCGGGCGGCAGTACAACAAGAGTCAAACTGTGGCAGATATCAAATCCAAAACATACAGCTGGGCGAACCGCGATCCCGTCTATCGCTAGACACACTCTGGCCCCTGTGTGTGTGTGTGTGTCTACAACATATATAGGTGTTTATTTCCCTTTCATTACGTTTACCGCTCAAATGCACAGAAAAAAAAAAAATTTGATTTTCCGATATTGTTGTTGTTTTCCTTTTATTTGCATCTCACTGTGTTGATGAAGAAGTGCGTTTAGCAGCTGAGGCAAAATAAAGTAATATATATATATATATATATATATTACTGCATGTTTTGTCTATACTTGCGTGTGTCGGCATTTATGTGTATTTCATTCTTTGACCCAACTATTCTATATGTTTTTTGTTGTTGTTGATGTTTGTTGCATCTATACGTCTGCATCATAAAAGTTGGTGGGTATAATATTGAGCAGATACCACGACACCCGTTAAAGACACAAACAGAGAAGCAGGTTATAAGAAATGTTTCGACGTGCGATCAATGTATCAGTCCCCACGCGTTGCATGGCGTTAATGGGCTATGCAACGCTGCCTGACCTCATAAAACCAAAGGGGGCCCCGGCCGAGTTACCCAAGCTGGAGTTTAACTGGAAGGATGGTTGTGCCCCCGTCTTCAGCCCGCGTCAGATGGAACTGCACTACACGAAGCATCACAAGGCCTATGTTGACAAATTAAATGCGCTGGCTGGGACAACGTATGACGGCAAGACCATTGAGGAGATTCTCTGCGCGGTGGCAAATGACACCACCAAGAAGGTGCTCTTTAACCAGGCCGCACAACATTTTAACCACACCTTTTACTTCCGGTGCATCACGCCGAATGGGAAACCGATGCCAAAGTCTTTGGAGTCCACCATCGCAGCGCAGTTTGGCTCTGTAGAGCAGTTCAAGGACACCTTTGCGTTGGCGGGGACGAACAACTTTGGCTCGGGGTGGACGTGGTTGTGCGTGAACCCGTCGAACAGGAATCAACTTGTTATCGAAAACACAAGTAACGCCGGGTGCCCTCTGACGAGCGGACTGCGCCCCATCTTGGCCGTGGATGTCTGGGAACATGCATACTACAAGGACTTTGAGAACCGCCGGCCGGACTACCTGAAGGAAATCTGGTCCGTTGTTGACTGGGAGTTTGTGGCAAAGATGCACGCACATGCACTCGGGTGAAAACATCACATGAGGATGCGAGCAATGCGAAGAAGGAAGTGGAGACAACAATCTGGGAACGATAAGGCAGCAAAAAGAAAAGAAAGAACTAAGGAAATTTACTGATGAGAAGAGGAAGGGATGAATTTTGTTTTTGATTGCCTGACAAGTTTGTACGTGTCATTTTGTTGGTAAGGAAGAAGATTAAAGAATACATCTGGTCGCTATCGTCTACCAACAAACTGGCGTAGACGATCGCATCTACTCATATATTTACGAAGCTTATTAATGTTGTATGTACATAAATACATATATAAATACAAATATGTACTGAACAAGTTTTTGCCATGCGGTCACACGTAGGAATGTGCAAGCAAACACACACACACACATCCATATATATATATATATATATATATGAAGATCGAGAGAGCAAGAACGAATATACATGCTTGTATGCCGCATCACATCTGGTGGGTGACTTCGATGAGATATGCAGAAGAACTCACAATGATGTTCTCACCAGATACATATCCGCACTTATTTACTTATGCACTTGTATGTGTCTCTGAACGTATGCATGGTTGGTCTTTATTTTTACCTGCCCTTGTTTGTTTGTATGCCTTGCGCTCTCTTACTGTTGTCCTCTATGGTGTGGGATCTTGTTTGGCTGTGGAAGAAGAGGCAACCATCTTTGCTTTCGCGAGCTTTGCGTATTGGCAATTATTGGAACCTCCCCATGTACGCATTTTTTCTGTGCTCAATTAATGTGATGTTTAAGATGTGCGTACTCATTTGCTGACTTTCAAACACCCTCTTCTTGTTTCTCATGTGCTACGTGGATGTGTATGGCCTTGGTGCGATAAAGACAAAAACAATATTTAAATAATAATAAAAGGAAGGCGCTCTCTATCGCTCTCTGGCTCTCTGTGCACTTGTGTAACGCGTAGAAACTACAGCAACAGGAACCATGCAAAGTCAAATGATGGTGATGCATGCGATGGAGCAGTACTCCATGCTTGACCTTGCAAACGATCTCTTGGAAAAGTGCTGGGACATTTGCTTTGACACCAATCTTACCCGGCACGAGCTGGTAGAGGGGGAATTGCCGGATAGCAAACTGCGTAAGATGGAGGCATGTCAGCGTAAGTGCATCGCGCGCAATTTTGAGGTGATGAAGTTGATGAACGGGGCTCGAGAGCTGCGGGAGAAGGAGGCGTTGCAGGGACTCCCACCAGGGTCGCTCAGCGCAGAATAGAGGAGCGATGGAGACCAGTTGGACTGAACTATGCCGAATGAGGCGGAGTTGATTCACAGGCGTCATTTTCTGTTGTTGGTGATGACGTTGCGGTTGCTGTTGTTGCTCTTATTGATCTGCTGTGTTGGATTCGGTCTCTCGTTTGTGGCGTGCAGTCTGATGGCTTTTGTCGTTTCTTCACCCCGTTTACCCCTTCCCGCTGCCGCACGTCAAATACACTTTTCTTCATCTCCTCTTCTCTTTCTCACTTTTCTCCTCGCTCCTTCTGCATGGGTGGGTGGGGCGCCGCAGTGGCGGGCATCGTGATGGGGCGAAGTGAGACAAACGCAGAGTAGAGTCGAGGATAAATTGCATCGGAAGATGGATAGAGAGAGAGAGAGAGAGACTGATAGTGAGAGGTGTGTTGTGTTATGTTGGTGTTGAATGGTAAGAGGGCTGCGTGCCGTTGGGGCAACACAAAAATAACATGCACATGCGTGCGTACCAAATAATATGACTAGCAATAATCCATTGGCGTATGAACTGTGCCTCCACACATAAATGAGGATGTGCCAGCAGGCAACGATGTCGCATACACGACAGTTTGAAAGCATATACTCCTTTTTTTGTTGCTGTTCTTTGCGTTTCACCCTCTTCCTCACTTCCTGTTTCTGTAGGGTTTACCAGCTTCTCATTTCGTTCTTTTTCTCTTCTCCTTACTACTTTATCTGTGGGAAGTGGCGTCCTTTTTTTTATCGGTGTTTTTGCCTTCCTGTTCCTTGTCGCCGCTGTGCCACTAAGCGTGGAGGCGGAGACACAGAGAGAAGAGGAACGAAAAAGAGAAAAAAATTGCCACAAAAAATTCTGCAAACCCTTCACCCTCCTCGGTGCCGCCCACGTGCGTGCCTACACACGCATACATCACGCACAGGTGCATTAACGAGACGGACTGTGGTCGTTGACCAGGAGCACACACGCGTATACCAGCAGACAGGCAGCCAGAGCGTATAAAAGTGGAGAACGAAAAAGAGAAATACTTTTTTTTTTAAAAAAAAAAGAGGAGTTGGAGAAAAGGAGGACAAGTGGAAAAACAAAGCAAAGAGCAACCAAACAAATAGTGTTAGTGAAGATGGCGGACCGTCTACGTGCATCACTGTTGTCGTACTTCTCGAGACACATGGAGCGTGCGGATTGGCAGAGTGCTCTCAGAGCTCTCCGCGGCTGCGCTGAGACAGGAACGCTTCTGCACAGTCTTCCACACGACAAGCTTTTTCCGTTTTTGGTGGCAAATGGGCAATGGGAGTTCGTCCTACGTCTCAGTAGTCAACTCATCGCGGTGGAAGACGCTAAACGCAATACGGGGAAGGGGAGTACTGGGACCACAGCTTCGCTGGCGCAGGAAGAGGGACTGTACAACACGCTGCTTCGCGCGACTCTTGCCGATGAAGCAGTGTCTAGTATGGGGAGTTGGAAGGCAGCCGCTGCCATTGTGCAGCGCGCCACGCGACGCCGTGTGCGATTAGAAACCTCAGTCATAAAAGATGTCTTGAACACCATAGAAAAGTGGCAACATGAAATCGCAACTGGTAGTGGGGGAAGCGGTAGTAGCAGCACCAATGGTGGTCCCTCTGCAGGTGGGGCGAGCCCAGTCTCCTGTGATGCCTTGCTGCTCACACGAGACCTGCTCGCTGCGAGTCTGCATCTTCGTGGAGAGTCTGCTCCGATGGCTGAGTCAACGTCTATATGCCGAACACCGCGGGTGCTTCAGCAGAATTTGGTGCAAGCCATTCACACTGCTGTTTTTCAGGGATTGGTGGTGGAGGACGAAAATAATCCTATGCCTTGGCAGAGGCTGAGGGAGAAGCTGCACGCGAGTTGTGCATCCTCTTTGTATGATGCTGTCTACACGGTGCTTCATGTGTGTGCTCCTCACACCAATCCCAGCGGAGGAATTGAAGCAGGTGAAACCGTGGAACCGGTACTTCAAGCGACTATCGATTGCATCGCCGTGCGACCAGACGTCGCCGAGGAGATACTTCATTGGACGTTGCAACGTCTGTTTGATGACGTTATCGTCACCCCCCGACCTTCTGGTGTGGTCGGGGTTGGGCATCATGACGACGATGCTGAATACAAGTGCTGCAGCAGTATCAATGAGGTGGCTTTGGCGTGGTGGCGGCGAGAACTTGAGCAAAAACCGGCGATGGAGTTGCCAAAATGGGAGATGTCTAGGGCGTTGGCCATGGCGGAGTTGGAGCAACGTGAGCGGCGCTGGACGATGGCAGAGGATAACCTCGGTTGCTGGAAACAGGAGCCAAAGAAGAACAGTGCCCACATGTTGACTCTCACACGGCTCTGTATTGCCACGCAGTTACTCTTTTTGAGCGGCGATGTTGCAGGGCAGCAGAGAATCACTGAATCTTTGGATGACACCAAACACATTGAACTGGAGTGTGTTGCGCGAAAACTGCTTCTGCACGGCGCGGTGGTCACTGCGAATGGCGCAGATGACTCTCTCATTACTTTCTTGTCGAACACTGTTCACTCGCTTATGATGGTGTACATTCGCCTTTGTTGTGTGAGAGACTACAGGCAGCAAATGTTGCTGAACACTGTTGCGGAGGCGCGCGAGGACCGGCCTCACACCCCCACCGGCCACAGTGGTGGTTTCACCGTTAAGAGCAACAACGCCGGTATCATCGATGGTACTCCCTCGAAGTCAGCACTTGCCTCTGGACGGGAAGTATTTTGGAGAAATATTATTTTTCCACACACACTGAGTGGATGGCAGAACTCGCCAATAGCTGCCGCATGGCAGGCGCTGTTGCGGCACGTTCTCTGTGATGCCTCTCTGTTAAAGATGTGGTTTCAAGGTGATGAATCCCTTAAAAGTCACATCACAGTACTTGACAGGAGGCACACCTCTTCCGCGGACATGGCGGAAGACAACACTGCTGGTGGTGGCCACGGGCGTCGCGGTCGCCGACGTCGCCGTGGTGGTGGTAGTGCTTCTGGTGTCACGCCCTCCTCTTTCTGTCGTGAAGAGAGACTGCGGCAACTACAAGAGCTGGTGTATTTCCTTAGTCGAAGGTTTTCTTTTGACAATAACTGTGTCATGTTTCCCTTGCTTCATTTGGAGAAGAATAACGAAACTTGGCAGGACTTACAAACCGATGTAACACGCACTGCAGGGATGGACGCCGATAAAAATGTGAGACTTTCCGCCTTATCGACACTCTTGACACGGCATGAGGAGGTTGAAGAGATTGGACGAGCTCTATTCCAGGCATGCGTCAGGGATGATCTCGCTTTAGCTGATGCCAGCAATGTGTGGCGCACATTTATTTTTTCTATTGCTCCGCAACAGGTGGCACCGTTACTACGGTGCATGATGGACTTTGCGGCAACCGAGTCACATGATGGCATTGGGAGGTCGTCGAGTTTTGCGGCCCTTGTTGTGGTGATGCACGAGAGTGACGTCTTCAGCAGCGAAGACAAGGCGCGTTACACGGTCCTGTTGTTGAATTCTATTGAGCCCGTTACAAAGTCATGGCGTGTGGCACTTGCACTTTTTGGTGAAGCCGCATCCAAGATTAGTGAGCCGCCCCTTGATGGCAAAAATGATAGGTCCCTTCGTCATATCCTTGACACGTTGCTGGTGAGTGCGGTACCGCCACGATGGCGGGAGGCATTGCAGGTGGTCGAAATTGTGCATGAACTGGTGCCAAACGTGGGTAAAGCACAAAACATGGATGAGGAGGATGCTAGCACAGGCGGTACGACTGGTCCTTTGCCTGGCAGAACCCCATTGAGTGATAGTGAGCGCATTGACTTGTACGAGGCCCTTGCTCCGCTAAAGCGGCGGCGACACTGGATGTCTGCTATGGAGCTCTTTACCGTCTATGAGGCACGTCAGCTGAGTGGGCATGACTGTGCCTGTTTTGCCTTTGCTGTGGCAGATGGGCCGCTTTCCTTTGCCCGTCGGGTGCTACTTTCACTGCGGGGAAGAGAAAAGTCTAGAGAAGTTGCGCGGGCTGCCTTAGTGACGTCCTGGCGATATGTCAAGCAGTCTGTGCGAGCTCTGAAACAACGACAGAATCATCAACTTGAACAACGCGAAAGTGGTTTGTTGGAGCAGGAGCGAATGCTTGTTCTCCACGAGGCAACTCAGGTGGCGCGCTTGGCTCTCACTGTGTGGCCCACGGCTATCACCAGCGATGAGGATTTTAGACTCATATGGAAACTTATTAAGGGTATCTGCGCCGGTAATGTGGCTGAGGCGAAGCTCTTGCTACGTCAGAGTGGACTCTATGACTCGGAGCAAGCCAATAACGAGGCAGACGCCCTCACGCGAACTGTGCGCCTCTGCCACGCCGCGCAGGATGCAGCAAGTGCAACCGCTGCATATGAAACGTTTCGTAATCGGTTTATTGGCATGGTTTTGCCCGAAGAAACGATGCTACAACTCCTCACCTTGTGTGTTTCCCGCGTTGTCGATGGCGTGGAGGATGGGACGACACGGGATAGAATAAGGATGCTACATACTGTGCTCAGAGATACCTTGTGGATGCATGACTCTTCACTTCGTTACGAGGGTAGTCACACAACGATGCCGCGAAACTGCATGCTTCAGGTATGTATTTTGTTGTTTCGGTTATCTGCGCCATCTGAGAGCAGGGCCGTGATGGGTATCCCTAAGTTTAGTTGCGACATGACGCCTAATATGCAACGACATGCTCAACGTCTGTTGGTTGTGGTAACAAATCATCTTGTAAGTAGTGATGCACGACTACTACGCAATCTTCCTGACTTTATTGGTGTTCTGCGGGCACTGCCCCCATTTTGCCTCGGTGCGGTGGCTGCATCAGCGCCGACGTCAACGTCTAAGAAATTGTGGGCGGATTCCATCACCACCTTAACCCATCACGTCCAGCATCTGGAGAAAACGTTGGGCCCTGTGGTGCCTGTTGAGTGCCTGTTTTGGTTGGGAATCCTGCAGAGCGAGCAGACGGTATCGGGCGCCCCCACGCCATCTCCCTCGCTGTTATCCACCACTGGTGAAGAGGGTGAGGAAGAGAAAGTTTCAGGAAGAGAATTCAGAGAGGTGCCGCGTTGGGACCCTGAGGCATTTGTTGTTTTGAACGACCTCTTGAGTACACAGGAGGCAACAGCGCTAGTGAACCGCACTATTCTCTTCGCCGTTGAGTCCGCAACGCGTGGCGACGCCGAGTCGCTGACGATGTCATCATCATTACGTGTTCAGCTTCTCCCGTGTATCATGGAGGCACTTGTCTTTTTACTGCATCGTCGCTGGCATGCACAGCCCCCACTCACTGCCACTCTTGCAGCAGCCGCGTATGCAGTGCAGTCCTTGCATGACGCACCAGAGTGGATTTCAAGTGAGGCTGCGATGGATATACTTGTGGCGCTGCATACTATTTTTGCTGCTTTTCACGTTCGTCATACAATCGCTTCACTTGCTGTCTTAGCACATCCCATGCACCGCCTTTCCTCGGCTGTGGATGCCATATTGAGCGGAGCAGCGTACGAGGCGGTGCGGCACATGCACGATTTTGTTCTATTGACATCTGCTTGGATGCAGAAGTGTCTACAAGCTGCGGAGGGTGCGGAGCGGCGGGTGCTGAATGAACGACAGATACACTTTATGATCTGGATTGCGGGTAACCTGACAGGCACGTGTGCGTCCTGGCCGGACTCACCACTGCGGGAGGAGTGTATGCATCAACTCAGTCGTTCGTGTGAGATAATTGAGCGATGTGTGAACTGCGGCTACACCTCACCTGTGTCCTGCAGCGCGCTTTTGCTGCTGCGTGTTATGCGCACTATACTTCAGAAGGGTCCGTTGAGCAACGACACAGCGGAGGCCTTCTTTTCTGCGACTTCCGTGTCTAAGCACTCCAACAGCAGCCACCTGGACGTTGGTTTTCCTGCAGACAATGCGTCCCTTTCAGTTTTTTTGATGGCAATGACACTTTTACACATTGTGTATCAAGGCACGCGTCCAGACATGCGTCTGCTACGGGCCTTTCTTCCGGCGCTACAGCTTGAAGAGGAGTTGCAGAAGACCTTGCATGACGATGAAGCGTTTGTGGGAGGTCTTATTGCGATGCAGTCCGCTCGCTTGAACGCCACTGCCGCTGTACGCCGCGCCCTCGGCGTGTCTTTATCGCTCTCCACACGTTTCATTGTGCGCCTTGTGGAGTTCTCTCCAATGCTGTCGCTAGAAGCTTCGACCGTGCAGTGGCTTCGATCAGAGGAGCAACTCGCAGAAGTCGCCATCTTTGCGGCTCTTGCATCGTGTCGCGGCGGCGGGACGCCGGAGGAGCATGACATTGTGGAGGCAATGGATGCAGTAGGTACACTTGTTCCACATCGCTGGGACCTTCCCTATGCCATGGCGCTCGGTTTTCCGCTTCCTGCAAGGCAGAGCGTAACGCCGCTAGAGCGCACCCTCCGCCAGCGGCTGGCGGTTGTGCTTCAATACTGCGGGCCGTGGCCAGGCGGCATAGTTTTGGCGCTGCTGCTTAAGGCAGTTTGGCCCGCACTGGATACTAAGAAAGATGATGGTGTTCTTCCGGATTATAACCAACTTTTGGAAGTCATGGCAACTCTTAGTTTGGATCGTCGCTGGAAGATGATCTCGATAACTCCATCACTTCCACACGAGACTTCACCGCTGTTTATGCGTCGCGTGGCATTGTGGCATCGCCAGGCATCCACGGCCGCGTGCATCATAATGGGGAATGCTATACCACACCAACAAGAACAGCAGCGGCAGCAGCGGCAGAGGTGTTGTGAGGCTTGGAATGCTCTTTCTACGAGTGATGCGGCTGTTCAGTTCCTCGTAATCGCTTATGTGGTGGCGCCGCTATTAGGGACGCGTTCCACCTCACAAGAACGATGGCAGCAGCAACTGCTGTTGGCTGACATGAAGTCTTGGATCTCGTCGTCTTCGACCTCCGCTTCCAATCTTAGTTGGCCGTGGCAGTCACTCTCTGCGGAGGCGCGGCAGCTTTTACTTTGGAGTCGTATTGCCCTCATGCTTCCACAGTGGGAGATCGTGCGGGAACAAAAACGTGAAACAATTGCCGCGGAGCAGAGTGTGATCGCGGCCACCGTTTCACTAGTGTCCTCCTCCCACGCTGTCTCCTCCTCTTTTTCCTCTCACTTTGGTAAGAGCGAGCGAATACCATCCGCATTGTCATATGCAACAACTGATGCGAGGGCTGCTGGGTTTTCATGTATACTGTGTTTTCGCCATGCCCTTTTCAATACCGCATGGATAGCGGAAATGTGCGCGAAACAGTTTATGCTAGAGCATCCGTCCATCTACGCGCGTTTGTGCCGCGCGCTGCGCGTTCTTCCTGACCCGTCACTTATGGGGATGAATGCAAATGACGTTGAGGAAGATGTTACAAATGCCACAGAGTCACTGTTTGCGACACCGTCTGGCTTCAGTAGCTTGCAGTACGCCTGCGCATTGGTCGACACGGCAAATGAGGCGGCAGAGTTACGGAGTGAGCGAGGCTTTTTGTTGCTGCTTGCATGCGCCCGGTCCATGCAGGAGGCATCCGAGCTATTGGAGAGTCGTTTGTCCCAGCGGCTGTATGTGCCTCTTCGCATACAGTCATTACTAGCTGCGTGGAATACACTACTCATTCGTTCTGTGGAGCTGGAATGGGAGGGAGAGGCTGGAACGCCACCGATGGGCCGCAGTGCGGCGGCGCATGCCGATTTAGATGTGGAAGAGCATAAAAATGAAAAAAAAGGGAATGCACCGTTGCGTCACCGTGTCGCTGCAGCGTTTCTCGCATTGGCACTAACTTCTGGGAGCAACGCTTGTGATGTGCCCATCTCAGTGTCATCTCTGCAACCGGAGGAGGCGGAGAAGTTACTGCAAAGACTGTACAGAGAGATATTTGCCCACAGTGCCACTGTAGATGCTTTGCATGGTGCTACTCTAAACACGACTCCAAGTGAGTCACGTTTTTATCGGGCGTCGACTGAAATTGTGACGCGCGCCATTTTGATCCTGCCGAAGGCCAGCACTTCGGCCTCTTTTTTTGATGGCCATGTTGCGTCGGCTATTGAATTTGTGCGGCAATATATGAGAGGTGACACCGTGTCATGGGTCTCACTCTGGCCACCGTTAGTGTTAGAGATGCGGCGCTCGTGTGAGTATGTCAAATGTCTTCAGGAACAAAAGCAGAGCCCTGTCTCGCCATGTAAACTGCGCCATCCTGTCGCGGTGTCATGGATGATGCAGCAAAGTGCCGCTCACACAACTCTTCTCGGTACCGTAACACGACCGTTGATGGTGATTCTCAACACTCTTCGATTGTATGTGATGACTGGGACGGCGTCGTTTCCCCTGTCACAGGTGGCGACGGTGAAAGAGACCGCAAAAGCAACGGAGGATAATTCTGCAACGTTCTATGGCGTTCGTGGCGCAGGTGCCGGAATGGTGGTTGACCAGTTTCTCTCCATGGCGCTGCGAGGGTGGGTGTCCACCCATCCTAACGACAGCACGAAGGCGCGGGATCGAGACGTCATTCGCCACCTTGTCGATGCAGTCCTTCCTCATCCACACATCGTTGACTCATCCGCTCTAACGTCATCGTTGTTTCTCTCAGGATACACGCCGTTAACAACGGATGGGCTGCAGTCACTGGCACGTCTTTTAGTGGTGCGCGATGGGTTTGACAAGCGTCGCACTGCAAGTATTAATCATGTGGGGAAGTTTTTGCGAATGGAAAAGCAACGTGAGATGGCACGTCGCATTGCTGCACGTGACGCCGGATTGCCTTTGACACGCGTCCACTTTGGTCGCCCGCGGGGTTCGCGCGACGTGCAGGTGCAGCTGTTGTTTTATCTTCGCGCCCTTGCCGCGGCTCTTACCTTTGTGAATCCGATGGCGTGGCACGGCGAACGGCAGGCCTCCCTCGATGCCGCGTACACGGCACTGATGGACTTTTTGCACTTGTGCTTTATCACGTACGGCGAGGATGTTGACATTGCATCGCGCCAAGTGAAGGCTGAACTGGAGGGCATCTTTGGCCGTGGCGTGATGAGGGTTGTTTCTGCAGCTGCATCGCAACCAGACAGCATTGTCAATGTGCGGCAATTATTGCACTTCTTGACTGAGGGCTTGCACCACCACCACCACCGAGGAGCGAAAGGGGAGCGGCGTGACGCGGCACTGTCGCTCAATAGGCGGCTGAGGGAGCTGCTCCGTCTGCACAAACGGGGAGGTGAGGTTTCGGACGTCTTGCTTCTCAAGGGTGACGATGCGGCGTCTGCGACCGCACCTGCTATGTCACTGTTTACACAGATGACCTCCATTGTGCGGGAATCGCTTTGGAACACTGCTGTGGTTCCATCGCATGACGTTGTGCTGGAGCTTCTGGATGTTGCCGTCACCACCGGCGTGTCTGACTCTGCGAAGGCCTCTGTGGAGACAATACATGCAGCGCGTTGTGGCCTGCAGCTCTTTGAAACGATTGCACCGTACATTGTTGTGCCAACCATCATGCTAGAAAAAGTGTTGATGCTGCTGCTCGTGGTGCTGCGTTCTAGCGTTGCTGCGGCAGCAGTGGACGAAACGGCAAGAAAGCAGGAAAAGGAGTTGTTTGAAGCAATTCTTCACCTTGTGCTTCGCCGCTTTCAGTACGTCCCGCTCAACACCCCCACGGCCGTGGTACTGTTGTGTGAGCTTTACGCTGCTGCCACCACTATGAATACGACGTCTGCCATGTGCAAGAGTGCGAGGGAAGTGTGTTTGGGAACTTGTATCTCTCACTTCCCTCTACCGCCTGGGAGTGAGGTGCCACAGCTACCGCAGGCGGAGTGGCTGCTGTGGCGTTGCGTAGTAGAAGCGAATCAGGTGCCATGGTCGCTCCTTCAGGCTGCGTTATCATCAGCGAGTGAGGAATCGCTGCGTCTGCTGCAACATGGATGTTGTGCCTTCCTGTTGCAGGATCACAGGAAGCCGCACTATGACCCCCCGTTTTTGCGTCTTGGCAGGATGCTTGATACCATGATCCTTCAGGAGCCTGGGGATGCCAATGCAGTCACCAGCAGTGGCTTTAGCGGTATTCATGTTAGTGGTAGCTTTACAGCTCAACTGCTGCGCAAGCTAGAAGTAAGGCCTACAGGGATTGCATCGAGTGTTGTTCCGTGGCATCGTGCCCTGCAGTTTTTACCGGAGTCTCAGGATGGAAGCGTAGACGACATTACAGACATGATGCGCTTCCGGTTTTATGTGACGTTGATGTCGCAACTGCTTACATCAGCAACCAAGGGGAATAATGGTGTGCGTCAGGTATGGCAACACGCACTCTCGGTCGTACTGCCTCAGCTCGCCTCTGCTAAGGGAAAAAAGGAATATGGCATGGATCTCATTCATCACGGGACCGCCTGTGCACTGCGGATGCTTCATATTGTTCAACCGTCAAATGAATGGGATCTCGCACTGCAGTTAACGCTACAGCTTCCTGCTTCCGCGATGAACTCCGTGTCATGGTGGTCTTCCCCTGAAGCGCCATTGTTTCACACGTTGCGGTATCTAATTGAGGTGTGCGATGTGGCCACAATTCCCATCACAGCATTGGTCTCGTACATGCAGGTTGTTGGGAAGCGTCAGTTGTCTGCCGCAGGGACTGAGACTACGACAGGGCGATTCAACCGTTTGAGAGTGGTGGCTGCCTTTACGGCACGTGTGCAGCGCCATCCGCGCCTTTCTTGGGTGGATGCGCTCGCACTGTTGGAATCTTTGAGTGTGTTAGAAAAGGGGTTTTCAAAGCCGACTGCAAAGGAGGCTAGCAACCAGTGTCCCAACAACAACACCAGTGCGCGGGAACATGAGGTGCAACAGGTGCTAACTCAGGCAAAAGGTGAGTTTGTCACCGCTGTCATGGGGCGCCTGTACAAGAAACAATCGTATGAGTCACTCCTACGTTTCGTCGAAGCAGCCCAGCAATATTGTCGTGTAAGCGGCCGCGAATCTATGGCGTGGATAAATCACGCTGCGTCGGTCGTTGTGGCTCCTTGTCAGAGTGGTGGTCTCTCCGAAGTCTTGTTGTTGCTCAATGGCACACTTATGAGGAAGACGTTTGATGACATATTGAGGGAGCATTCCGCAGGGGTGTTGCAGAAGCGTGTGTGTCTCATGCAAGATTTGCTTCGAAGTGGTCACTGCGTGGATGCTGCCGTGCTGTCACGACAGACCCCAGCATTGCTGGGGACGCGTGAATTTTATGACGCCTGCACACGTTTGATGAATCGCTCTCATCACAGTGATGTAGTTGCCTTCTACGATGCATTTATTCACCCGGAGGAGGAGTTGGAAGTGGAGACGCGGCAGGCGGATGAGGCCTGCATGGGAGGGGGTGATCGTGCCATGACGGCGTTACTAGAGGAAGAAGTTCGCTATGCAGAGGACGCAGATCTCCTGCGACATGTTCCTAGTGAAACGCTGCAGCAGGCAATGGACGCCTTTGAGGTTGCTGCAAACGCCGCAAATGGCATTAACACGAGCGAGAAGAGAACAGGGCTTTGGATTGCGGCGACGTGGATACGACGCGTAACGCCACTTATGCAAGCGCAGCACTCCCTTGCGGCTACACTGAGGTGGGTGCATCGCGATCTCATTGGTGGCACCGCAGGAAAACCTGACAGAGGTCTTTACATTCTTGCTGATGCCGTACGTGACATGCTGCACGAAACAGCGTCTCATGGCAGTGTTCATTCTTGTGGCACTCCCACTGCGAAGGCATCACTGACAGCAATGTTGGGTCGAGAACGTGAGGTTGCACGTTTACTTGTGGAGACCCTCTCAGGGACGTTTCCTGGTACTGCGTCGGAGTTGTGTGAATCACTGCTACCGCATGAGCGGCATCCGACGAGGGAACCTGGTGTTGATACAGCACTTGACCATGATAATGGGGATGCTAATAATAATGATGAGGTGTGGTGGAGTTTTCTACACTGCACGGCCGCCTATAATGTCGCACTTGAAGAAGCTTTTCAGCATTGTCGCACACTTGTTGACACTTCTGTGATCCGCGGCAGTGCCCGCAACCCCGTCGTGGAGTGGCGGGACCGCGCATTGTTCCGTAACGGTGGTACGAGCCATGCATGGGTCCTGGCACTGGCGGCGTATGCCACTGCACGCTCGTTTGTTGGGCATACATCCATCATTGGTGCGCATATGGCACGGCTTGTAAAGCTCATCACTGCCAGTGGCTCCCTCCGTGTTGTGCTCCCGACAGCCCGCAATGTTTTGTTTCAGCTTCCCTCTTCATCCCTTAACAGTGGCGAGTCTTCACTGCTTTTGGATGCTTTGCTGCTTCTCTGCAGCGCAATGCGTACGATGAAGCAGCATACTATGCACCGTTTTCGCCGTGCTGCGGAAGTGCAATCAGAGGAACTGCAAGCCATACTTGAGGAACTCCATGAACTTCACCGATTTGTGGGAGACGGACTGGCGTTGTTGTTGTTGAAGCAGCAGCAGCAGCAACGAGCACCTGCGCTGCAGGGTGCTCCACTAGACGGACGTGTGGAGTTGGCGTGCAACATGCTTCGGTGTCTTACCGTTACGCCCGCAGCATCTGTCATGTACGTTACGACACTAGAGGACTGGCGGTCACTCGTTCAACGCATCTTCATTGCCCTGCCTCCCGCTCAACGTCGCGGTGATTTACTAGACGCCTTCATGGAGAGCGTGCGAGATTCATCTGAGGTGCTTTCTCTTCTTCGACAGCACCCAGTGTCTGCTTTAACGAGTTTCCAAGAGGCCTGTAATGGGCTTTGGTGCAATGCATTGGGAATTATATCTGCAGATGGCAATTTTCAGTGCCACCTGTTCTCCCACGCAAACGCACAGCAGCAAAAAGCAATGACGCAACTGGAGATTTTAATCTGCTGTGCAGGTCTTGCTTCAGACCATGGCGCAGCGGCGATGAGGTCCCTTTGCGACGTTGTTGTGCGAGCCCATTCTGTGCCGCTTTCAGAGGATGCGAAGGCGCTGGTGAAGATGGCTTGTATACATGGCAAAGGAACTGCGTGGCGCTCCGAGTATGAGGCAATAACTGGCTTTGCACCGAGCACAGTGCGGCGGCAGACGACACTTGCCCCGGCGAAAGAGGCGCTGGAACAAAGTTTTTGTTTGCGTGCACTAGATGCAGTGGAGGATTGGGCACAGGCTTTGCGTTTGGGTCAGGCGAAGCGTGAGGTTGGAGTCCGTTTACAACATGCACATTATCAGCGCATGCTGTATCTTGTGGGGCAGCACAACACGGAGGACGCCGAGACGGTAGCTTTAAACACAGTGGTGGCGGATGCAGTGATGGGGCTGCATTTTGCGCGGCTGCAGGATGGCTGCTTCCCAAACACGCACGCAATAGAACAGTCGCTCCGCCTCTTGTCTGCGCAAACGTTCTCCCCACTTTTCGTGCTGCAGTACGCGCAGGCACTGACGCTTCTTCCTCCACTAACCAATCGTCAACACAGGAAACCTGAGAACCACAGCGGTGGTACGGGGTCCGCTAACGGTTCTTCCTTATCACTTGCACAGGAGGACCTTTCTTTCACTGTTTCTGCTGTCATGTTGCGTCTAGTTACAAGGGCTGCGTTACGCCTGCCTGACGCTGTGCGTCAGCACCGCCTAGATTCAAATGAAGGTGTAGAGGGGCTTCACATGTTCGCCGCCTTTATTCGTTGGGTGAGTGAATTCAGTCGTGTGCCATGTTTTGATAGGGGCGTGGTGGAGGTTGTCGTGCTGCTCCTGTGCACCCCACCGAAGCAACTCCTGTCAGAGCTCACCACGACACAAAATGGTACCCACCGCTGCGATGCAGGCGATGTGCGGCGTTTACTGCTTAGTGCTTTGCTGGCACATTGCGATGATGGGGCACCTATCGTTGATCTTCGCTCCTATGTGACTTGCCTGGAATCATACCGCTTTGTGTCCCTACGATGCAACCACAAGGAGGAAGATGGTAAGGATAATGAGGAGTATATTCCTACGCTCACGACGCTGTCTGTCCTACGCAGTCACGCTGAAGTGGCGCTTCGTTTTGTGGGGAAGCAGGCATCACTGCATCACGTGATGCGTCTATCCAAGCCACTGCTTTGCCGTATGTGCGCTGCTGTTGTGGCTGGCATGACAGTCACCGCCGAAGGCTTGCAGCCACTGAACCAACTCATGCAGAACACAGAGCTTATTTCTCCTTCGCTGCGTTACATGTTGACTCTCATTGTTGCGGAGCAGTCGACACTCTGGGGAATTTATTACACCGCAGAATCGGACCCCAAGAAAAAGGCTAGCGTTGGGCATCGGATTGGGAGACGCTCAGAAGTGCCTGTGTCAGTGGTGCTGCGCTCCGTAGCAGGTGCGTACGATGTGGTGCGGCAGCACTTTACACCGTCCGACGCGTTGATGCTACGCGGCCTGTTGCTTCCAAAGCATTTGAGTGCAACAACGACGAGGGCCGATCACAGCGGCGATCAGCATGGGGAGGAGGAGGACGAAGAAGATTATTGTTGCAAAGATGCCATGAAATCACCAGAAGGAAAAAAGGAAGAAGATGATGAGAAGACAATGGATTATGCTGCACCGAATATTGTGTGGGAAAATGCATTAAATTTGTTTGATGTTTTCCTGCGCAATGCCCAGCCGGACGCCGACCTTTCCGTGCCGTTCGAGGCGTTGATTGAACTGCTGTGTCGATGGGGCCAGTGGAAGACTGCCTGCCGCAACGTTACACTCGCCGGTGCCCCGACGATAGGAACAATGAATACGCCCCAAACGATGCAGCACAGGCATGCCGAGAAGGAGGATGCGTCACACCTTCTTCCCCGCCATGTGGTGGTGGACGGCTTTCTCCTTAAGCGGCTCCTCGACTCCATGGAGGCTGCACAGCAACGTCATCACAGGCGGGGGGAGAAGAGCCTGGGTGGAGGTGGTCTAGACCCCGACGGTGGGCCGCCAGGCTTTTGGTGGCTAGCTTTGCATCTTCTTCGTCAGCAGCAGCAGCAGCAGGTGCTTCTTCTTAATGAAATGTACCTAGACGGTACCGAAAAGTGCGATGTAATGATTTCATCCGTGACGCTGCTGGCCATCATGAAGACAATTTCTCAGGGAAGAGGCGACTATGCGCCCCGTTGAGGGTCGTACGATAGATGGAACTGTTGAGAGCAAATGCCGAATATTTATTGCGACGCAGCATTTTTTCAGTCAAACAAACATTAAAAAAAAAAAAAGTTTGATGTTGTTTTACTACTGTATTGTTTTGCGTTTGTCTTTTCTTCTGGCTGTCTGCGTGTGTGTCTATGCGGCTCGCCTGCATAACGGTCACAAAGGCATCCAATTCACATGCATAGCCAAAGTCTGTGGTTAAACAATTTGTAGTATAAACGTAAGTGGACGTCTTGGGCGTATTGTTTTTTTCCTCCCTTTGCATGTGTTTGTGTTGACGTTGCGGTTCTCTTTGTCACTGGTTTTATTATTATTACTTTTTTTTCTGTTTTTGCTCTAGTAACAGCAGCATTAGGGGAAGTGGCTGGGCAAACTCTTCCTCAGACGCACGCGCATACATTAGGCGTACGCGCATACATTGGGCGTACGCGCATCGCTACCTCAGTTATCTTTCTTAGCTCTGGGTCTTTGCGGCTCGTGGATAGCACTGTTGTAAGTGTCTACATATATTCGGGTGTTTGGTTTCTTTTGCAACGCTACGTTTGCATTTCCTTGTAGTACGACCGACCTGCACCACCAGCAACAGACACACACACACACACACACACACACACACACGTATTCAACTTCTGCCTTCGTAGTACTTAGCTGTGCCTGTGTCACATTAACAAGTAACACCCAAACAAGGCAGGAGGAGGATGAAGGGAAGGACACGGAAAGAGAAGCGTGTGCAGCCGAGGCAGAGGATTGCAGTACATGTGGCGGGTTCTTATTCTGATGTTGTGGACTCTTCCGATAGGTTAGATAGGCAGTGGAACGGATTTTTGAATCAAGATTCGACGTATTTTCCAAATAGGGCGCCGTCGTCAACAGGGAACTCGCGCAGTGCGGACAACTCAAATCAAATATTGTCGGTTATACCGCACCCACCTGTACGGTGTGACACTAAAGTGGCATCATCTGCAACAACATGGCACCTGGACCCAACTTGCTTGCCTGACAATACTTTGGAGGCAGAAAAGAGATCCATTCAATTATTGAAATTGCCTTCTTTTTTCTCAGTGGGGAATACAGATGAAACGTCGGCATGTAGTCACAAAGACGAATACAAGACATTGAATTCTTCTAATGCTCTTATGGGGCACGAAGCCCCTGTTTTGACGGCATTAGGATCAAATGAGCCACCAATGTTGAACGCTAGTCTCTCCGCAGAGGCTTTACCAAGGCGACAGCCTCGACAGAACAGCGAACCTCATGAAATTGAAGAGGACTCTGCAGCGGATGAAAAGGGGCTTGGGAAACAACACCACAGAGTGAACCATACAATACCTGAAACGAACGCTATTACGGCCGGTCAATTGGATACTTCGTGTGCTTTTAGTGATGGTAATGGAAATACCGTAAACGTTGCTAATACGAGTCGTGTGGGTGACCCTGCTCAGTCACCGATATCAAAGCCCCAGGAATTATGTTGTGATTGGGCATCATGTGACTCCATTGGCGCCAACTCCTTACCTTTGGAAAATAAAGAATCAAATGCGTCTTCTGCTTCTCCATGCGCCGTGCGTCCGGATGCTTCAAAGAACATGAACTTTGAAATGCATCATACGCACGAAGGACATAGGGAAGAAGGTAATGAGGCAAAAAGTGGGGATTCTAGGTGGTGTCGAACGCGAGGGCTTCCGCTAGTTTCTGTGCTAGTACCGTACTTCCTAGTCCTTCTCTGCTTGTCTCTGTTCTGTTCTCTAACACCGTATTACGTGACGATGTTTAACGTTCGAGATTCCGTTATGGAGATTCATGACTATATTCGTCTTGAGCTCCAGTCACAGCTAGACAGCGCGCTAAATATTGCTGGTGTCTTGGCAAACGTTTTCGTCGCTCTGTACATTCGAAATGAGCGGCATCCGAATCCAAACGATGAGTGGGTGCCGATGGGCGTTCAAATGTCGCAGCGTTTGTGTGCTGCGTTACATAACATGGATCATCATAGGCTACTAACCCATGCTTATATTGCCTCTATCCAGCGTGACGAGATTGCACTTTGCACAAGAGGATTTCATCCATACTATCTTTCCACAACTAATCGGAACTCAACCGATCGTGCAATTGTTTCCCTTCTCGCTGTTGACCCCGTAACAATGACACTACTTGACCCACCATTGGTTTTGAAGGAACTTCACACGCCCTTTCAGCTGAAGGATCTTGTAAATAATTTGACTCCCACAGGGAGTCTGCTTAAGGCATGGAAGGCGGATGTGGATGCAGGGCGCGAGCCAAGAATGCAACAGTGGATGGTAGAACACTTTCTCAACTCAGGGTACGCATACACGCACCCGTTTATTGAGAAGAATGGCTCCGTTGCGTTTGTGAAGGTTTCAATTGACCTTAGAAAGGTAATTGATCAAGTTCTAGTGGATAAAAGTGGGTCACTTCATTCAACTCGTGTCATGTTGCTTGAGAATGGTGAAGATTTTGAAAAACTGACGCTGGTCGCGAGCAATTCTCATGGGAAATGGGATTCGGGGAACAAACGAGGGGAACTTGGACTTTCACCCGTCTCAAATCCGATGGAAGGTGACGAATATGGTGAGCATATTTTTTTTGGAACTAGTTTCGGCGAAGGGAAAACTGGGGGTTTGCCTGCTTCAAGGAAAAGATGGAAGTTGGAGGATCCGTTAATGCGCAGGGCTTTTCAGTATGTAAAGATGAAGGAGGTCTTGGCGACGGTGCGCAAGGGAAAGGCCTTCCATACCAGGTTCCTGTACCGCGGAGCATTGAGCACCTTTAGTGTCTCCTTGATGCAATCAGAGCACAATGCCACAATGCTCTTGTTCGTTGTAGCACCTCACCTCTACAGTGAAGGCCTCCAAACCCCTCATTTACTCAGTTTTGTTGGAACCTTTCTCACCACACTCTCGTCAACTCTGCTGGTTTATGCTGTCCTCACCATCTTCGTCAGTCGTCCACTGCATAATATTGCGGCAGAGCTTCGTCTGACGGCAAAGGTGGAGGATACTTCGCTCAGTGATTCTTCCACGAACGCCGGTAACAAAAGCGACAGATTTGCATTGCTGGAGATATACGTACTAGAAAGTGTGGCCGCCTCACTGAGGGATCAAATGTGTCACCTCCGCTCCTTCTTACCCCAAGGGCTCTCATCGTTAAGGCCTATCAGTGAAGAGCGGGGATCGCGCTACATGGACACTGGCGTTAAGAATGAAACAGGTGGTAGGAGTCTGATGAACAAAGGGAATAATAAGGCATTTATGCCTGAGTCTTGCCTCAAATGTGTAAAAGAATCGGGGATTGGGGTAAGTGGAATTTATGGTCCACAAGAGCAACTTAACGTCTTTGAGGACATTATGTGTTCCGTGGTCTCTGTGCACATCTTGGATATCAAAACAATTGTGGAATATGCAAGTGAAATAGCAAATATCGTGGTGGAGGCAGCCAGAAAGTTCGGAGGAGGTATTGATGTTTTTCTACCAGAAACCTTTAACCTGAATTTTCCTCGTCGGGGAGAAAGTCACTCCGATAAGCTGGACGCAATACTTTGCGCTCTTGAAATTCATCACAAACTCCCTGATGTCGTGAGGTGTTGCTGTGTCATTCTTGTTGATAGCGGTATCTTTCATTTTGGCGTCTGCGGTGGTCCGGAGAAGAAAGAACCCGTCTTATGGGGCAGAACCATCAGTACAGATCTGATTCACGTGCAGCGTTGTTATGGTGTTTCGCTTGCCATACTTCAATCCACAGTTCCCTTCATTCGTTCCCGTGTTAATGTGTTGCCTTTTGCATCGGTTCGTGTTCATGCGCCAGATATGTCACCTAAAGTTACGTTTCATATCGTTATTGAAGATATTGTAAATGAATCGTCATGGCAGTGCGTGGAGGAGACCTATTTGAAGGGGTTTCGCTACCTTACGGTTAAGGCCTTGACGGAGGCACGTATGTGTTTTGAAAGCCTTCTCGCCTCACCGTATGTGACGCCCCAGCTGTTATGCCTTCTTCGTTGTCAACTGGCTCAGGTGCAACAATGTGAAGTTAAGTCGGGTACTACTATTGCACCAGAGCGATGTCATTTAGGCTCAGATCGTGTAGATACCACGACATCAAAGTGGTCACCTCTCTCAATATTACACAGTGAAAGCACCATGACAGGGGCGCATCACCACATACACACTTCACGCGAATCACGGAGACGACCCACATATAGTGACACCTCAAGTGTTTTGTCAGACGCACAACTTGCTTCGGCAGGAATAACCATCACTTCTGAATTTTGGGACAAAAAAAATGTTAGATGGAAGCGTGCGGCTGAAGGCTTTCCAGAATGCGGTCGATTTCCTGTCTTTCTAGGCATCAGTGATACAGGCACTCTCGCAGCACTTAAATTTGTGCCGATTTCATCGCTTCAAGAGTATGGATTTGCGGACCTGGAAACCCTTGAACGCGCCTGGGCGCATGCACAGACACTTTACCACGAGAACATCGTACAGTTTCTTGGCTATGGTCGATCAAAGGAATATGTGTGTAGTATTGTGGAATATGTTCCTGGTGGATCACTGCGTGATACACTGCGGCGATACGGCCGTCCCTTGCCACTCATGGCGATAAAACGTTTTTTGGTAAGTGCATTGCGGGGACTGGAGTACCTACACAATCGTGGTCTCGTTCATGGCAGTCTTCGACCAGAAGGTGTACTAGTGGCGGTGGAAGGATTATACAAATTAGGGGGAACCAGCACGGCATGTACAGCAGAGGAAGCAGCCTCAACGACAGCAGAGAGTCTGCGGCTACAATCTTGCAGCAATAGATGGGCTTATAGCAGTCCAGAGGTCTTTACTAGTGGTCAAAGAAGCGCAGCAGCAGACATTTACGCTGTGGGCGTCATTTTGCTGGAGTTGATTACAAACCAAATGCCGTGGCGCTGGATGGACCTAACAGCGGCAAGTCAGCGGAAGGAAAGTCCTGCCGCTGAGGATGAAACCACTTGGCAACAAAACGCAAAGAAAACCGTTACCGATCTAACTGCAATTCTGTCAGATTATGATTCCATGAAAGAGGCTCAAATGCAAGGAGGCATTTCCTTGGTTGAAATTCCGCGGGAGGGGGATGCAATCCTTCAAGAGGTACTAAGAAGCTGCTTGGTAACAGATCCCAAGGGACGCAAAACGGCTTCTGAGCTTCTGCAGCTCCTGCATAACATGCAGTGACAAGGTCACGAAAACGTCATAGCATAAAACGGATTCTGCTACATTTTTTTTTTGTTGTTGTTGTTTTTGTTTGATTGTGTTGGGAGTCCTTTGGCACGCACCGAACTCGATCAGGCTCCTGTTGGGGTCATACACAAAAGGGTCCGGTACGTTAAAAACATGTTATGCCGGTTTACTGAGGTGTGGGAGGGGACGGAGTCGTGCTTGTTTTTTTCTGCTGGCACACAGTCTGCTGCACTCCGCCTTCAGCCGCCACGACACAGGGTTGAGGAGGCGGAAGCCGCAAAGGATGAAACTCGCAGCCAACTGCGTGATGTCACCACGAGCATTTTAATGGCTGCACAGTTTTACGTGTACAGTAGCGGGGGGTAACTGCTGCCGCCCGGTGTGCACATGGCTTTGTGGCGGGAAGTGCTGCAATGGGAAGAAAAAAGTAACGTAAAAAAGGGGGCACTCATAAATGGGGAAACCCCTTCGAAGGCCGCGATAGCACCGCCGTCAACGGAGCGGTGGACTGGAATCAGCAATGCCAGCAGTGGATGGGGAAGCTTTATTGTCTGAGGTGAGGCAGACATGATTGACAGGACGAGGTGTGGGCGGCCGAACGCGAATATCAAGAATAGGTAAATAAAAATGTGAGATTCAATACTTTGAGGGATTATGCATCTCTTTCAGGCAAATTGAGCCAGCGGAAGTGGCCGCAGCGAAGTTCGAGTTGAGACATCAAAAACCACACATAACGAAAAAAAAAAAAACGAAAAAAAAAACAAGGAGCACAGCCGAACGAACATTACCCACATCAGAACCCCCTAATACCTTTAAAGGAGAATCGCGTACATATTCAAAAAAACAGCTTATGTTGCCTTATACATTATTAGGAAACATTACTATTGGACGTGGACATTATTTTTTTGTTTTGACGGAGACAGTGAAGGCGACATTTGTGCGGCAATGAAGCTCGTGGTGTGAAAGAAAGCTGGGCGTGGGGCTCGCATGCAATGTCTGGGGTGTGAACCGTAGTCCGAGGTTGAATGGGAAAGAGTTTAAAAAACAAAAAAAAACATGTTCCTCTCTATGAAATGAGGCAAGACATGAGCTTGTATCTGGCTGGAAGTGTGGGAGAGAGTAGGGTTTGACGGGGTGGCTCTCTTTTACTTTTTGTACCAAAAGCAACGGGGAGGGAATAATGCCAGATGTCATTGTCTGTAGAAGACTATAGTCAGATGACTATAAGCTGTGCAGGTGCGTAACATCTACCCCATTAGGACATGTCAGATGACATTTTTTTTTCTACTTTTTGATTTTGCTCGTTTCGGCTCTCAAAGAGCTATGAATGATGTTCTAATGGAACTCGTTACTAAAGAAGGTGTGTAGTTTTAATCGAAGTCCGCTCCTTCTATGCAGAGGTGGCATACATCTCTGTGGTGTATGGCCAGCTTCAGGAGTGATGGTATCGATTGCGTGCGTGCTCAGACGCCCGAGTGTGTATTTTTTGTTTGTTGTATGCATTGGACCAGTATGTGTGTGTGTGTGTGTCTGTGTGTCTCTCTCTCTCTGTCTGTGTGTGTGTGTAGTCGGCCTTATATGGCAGGCCTACCACTTTTGCCAACACAGTCAGCGGTGAATAGCAACCGTCAGAAAGAAACAACACTGATAAACAAGCGACATAGGCGACATTCATCACTTTGCCCTCTCTGTTTTTTTTCTTCTTATTTTGCAGACTGTGGTATATGTTAACATCTTTTTTTTTTTCCCATTGCACTCAGACAATGCTATTTCTCGTTTTGTTGTTGTTGTTTTTTTTTTTTGTGACTATGGAATGGAAATGTTTGACCAACAAGTACATAAATCAAACAAACAAACAAGCGAAGACATGAATGTTTCAATGTGTGTATATATACCTACATCTATCAAAGCATCCATAAAGTAGCACTTTGTTACATACTGAATTTGATTTGCGTGCGGCGCTGTATTTTACCTCGCAACTTTTCTCACTTGTTATTTATTTATTTATTTTATTTTTATTATTTTTTTCAGTTCATCGACTACATATTATTTTAATGGCGTTTCGTTAACCGGCTTCTTCTTCTTTACACAATGCACAAGAACATCCTTAACAACCCAATGACAGAAGATTCCCAATTTTGCGGAAAAACATCGAGATACAAAATCAAATATTGGGATTGGCACCAACGAAAATGAGCATCGCCAATAAATGCCACGCAGCACACTCAAGATAGCGGCGATGCAGTGGTGGGAGAAGGCGGGAGCCGTGGAGCAGTCCAAACTTGCGGGGGAGCCGCTGCCGTGCAGGTCGTCGCAGGTCGAGCGTCTCAGGACCGAGTGCGTTGCGCATGTGGCGCGGGGCGACGCGACACCGTTTGTGCGGCGACCACGCCCGGCAAATAGCGAGCGTGACGACGTGTTTCCCAGCGACGCTTTCTCGACTGCTACCGGCAAGGACACCATCAGCGGGAGGATGGCCAGTTTGACAGGCTCTTTCCGTGGTGACGCGGCGCTGACTGCGCCAGGAAGTGGCACAGTCAGTTTGGAGGTGGCTGCCGGGTGCCTGCCACGTCAATTCACGGACCACCTGGGGGGCGTCTGGAGGCGCGCCTTGAATCCGATTGAGGACGCTGCCACGGATGCCACTCCTGTGTACATGGGCATCTCCGCCACCGGGACGCTCGC